CACCTGACAAATGGTGAGCAACTTCCTGCTTCCAAGCCAAAAGTGCACTTCATGATGAAGCAGTCACTTGAAAATAGAGGTCAGAACCAGTTTTCTTTACAACCCAAATAAAACCAACCTGGAAGCCTTTAAAAGAGAAAGGTTCATGGTGCATCATGACTCATCCAGTGGCATGTGGCCACGGTGACCGCTTTTTAATCTGTAATTACCTAATGGTCTTTCTGTCCACAAGGGCGTCCAAATGAGACCCGTTTTAGTGGGCATCTCACCAAATCGCTTTACCCAGCCAGAAAAGTTCAACTAATGTTGCATAATGTCCATCCAATTCTGTTTCTTTGGATTAAAAAAAATACTGTGTCGCTCACCAAAACAAGTTAAAAGCTTTACTATTTCTAAAAGATTTAACCTGATGAAAGTGTCATGATAAGTCACAAGTTGAATCTTACCTTTCCCATTCTCCACGTCCTGTGAGGCAATCACAAAGCCAAAGCCTTCTCCTGGCTTTCTCCTCAGCTCCACTTCAATTCCTTGATGCCGCCGAGTTCGTTCACCGCTCTGCTTCTCCAGCACTGGAACGCCGGCAGCTTCATCCTCCAGGCCCGTGTTAATCCAGTCTTTGGGCTCCATAGTGAGGGTTACTGGAATGGACTCCAAGAAACTCGTGCTCTGGATTAGCGAGGAACGTGCTGGAGAGGGAGGTGTGCCGACAGAGGTCCGGGGCACTTGCAGTGCTTCTGGGAGCACAGAGGAATTGTCAGGTGGAGGAGGGGGACGGAGCAGAGGTGGAGGGAGTCTCCGGATAGTTCCAGGGGAGACAGCTGAATGATAGACTCCTGATAAGGAGAGTGAGAGAATAAAACCGAAACAAATAAAAACAAAGAGAATACATTTTGTTAACGATTCACTAAAAAGTAGAGCTTCTTATTTTATTAATTACTGGAGACACCACATATAACAAAAAAGGGGCTTTTTAAAAAGTTTAAATAGCCCTAAAGGATAGTTTGTCCAGCAAAGTGCACTGAAACACCACCGTTATGCTCAATGTGATGCAGCAAATGTTACAGAGTAGCATCGCTGCTGAGTAGGCATTTTAAGGAATAAAGGAAAATCTACACATTAATCACCAAATAATTTCCTCGTAGTATGACTTCAAAATAAGCTTGTTCCTGACAAATGATCGTGTCATTCATGTTCATCATGTCTGTTAGCAAATAGGCAGCTAATTTGCCAGTAGAGAGGCAGTTATTCCCAACTATTCCACTGGTACAATTGAGTTATTTCATTTCATCAGTGGCAGGGTATTGGAAAAAGAATGAAAAAACTAATGTGGGGAAATGATCTAATCTAAAGAACCGAGTCTACCTGCAGGTCTGAACAGAAAATTTCACAGTATTGGGTAAGCAGTAAAAATGGACGAAAAAAGTGAATGCATAAATGGTTAAAGCAGATATTAACAGGACAAGTGGCTGAAACTGTCTTATAACTATAAATTATAAATAGTGAGTTAAATTAAAACTTTTGAACATGACAGGTGGTAAAAATGAACGTTCTTGAGACCTGACAGAGCTACAGAGGAATGTCAGGAGGGAGAGGCTGAGAACCGCTGATGGAGCAGATTGCAAAGTAAACATCAGAACAACAGCTGCTCAATCTGAATTCCACAAAACCAACAAACATTTTAATTGGTTGGTCAGATGGAAAAGTTGGAACTTTAAAAAGTTCCCATCTTTGATTCTACTGCAACGAACATGCACATTATGTATGCACTTTACTAAGCTGGCAAAGCAGTTTTTTGGTTCTAGTTCTTATGCAAGTCAGGGTTGCAGGAGAGCTCAACCTTATTTAAAAAAAATCACTGAATATCAAATGATTGTGAATTATTTACCTCCTCTGTAAACCAGTAAGATGACTTCTCCCCGTTTGGCGTGCTCCTGGATAATTGTTTGTACCTGAGAACAAACATTAAAAGTATTAAGTTTTGAAATTGTTTCAAAATTTTTAATTATGCAAAGTCATTTCTGATGAGTCAAACTTAAGGGGTGTGAAGAAAAAAATAAGCTAAAATGTTGGAAACTACTGTTTTTACGCACTGTATCATCTTCATCGGTTTATGTTTCATCTCCCTGGTTTTCTTTCCACTTTTTCTCCTTTACCTGTGTAAAGCTAAGGCTCTGGACGTCAGCTCCGTTGATTTTGACAACAGCGTCCCCTGGCTGCAGGGAGTTGCACTGCTTCCTGTCCCAAACTCGATTCACTAAAGCAATAGTGCCTCCTGGACCGCCAGCCGTCATGCTGAAGCCCAGGCCTCTGTCTCCTTCAGTCTGGGCCAAGGCCACTGGCACCAGCTCCCCTCCACTGAAAGCGCCAAGTCCACTGCCTACACTCATTGCCCCAGGTGAGGACATGCTGCTGGGACTTGCAGTGGGGCTGGTGTTGCCCTGGAAACCATTAAAGCCACGGTGTTGCGGGCTGTCTGGGGTTGGAGGTCTGAGATGGGAGGTCTGTGGTCTGAATAGGTGGGGATGAGTGCTGCGGGGACCACCGGGGGAAGAGGAGGGCCTTCCTGGGGACTGAGGCAGGGGCAGCCGGGACCCCGACAGGGTGGACAGGTCACTCTCAGACGACTTGGATGTTCCATAAAGTAAAGGATGACGAGGTGTCGCGAGTGAGTTATTGTTGTGATTACGGATCATTGATGCCCTGATGAAGAAGAGAAAGGAGAGTTAAAATCAATACTAAATGCCTCTGTGTTCAGAGACAGTATCATACTAAAACATGTAGGGCTGCAGTATCTGCCATTTAGTTTTTAGAAATAATGTCCATCTCTGAAATCCCGTTTTCTCTCATCACAACATGGCAGATAGATTAACAACCCAGCAAACCGTAGTGAAGCTTAATCTATCTGACATTTGTAAGTTTTGCTTCAAAAATAATTATTGTGATTTCAAAATGCTTCCTTTTTTCGACTGGCAAGATGATTACCTGACTGATCACTGAATATTTTGTTGCACTGAGGCTAATTATAGCCTCAGTATCCTGTTTTTAGCTGGTAGGAACCCCATGTGGTTGTCATCTATTTCAAGGTTTGACATACTGTGGGTTCAGAGATGCTCTTCTGCATACTTTGATTGTAATAATTGGTTATTTGAGTTACTGTCGCAGTGTGGCCATTCTCCTCTCAAGTCAACAAGGCATTTTCTCCCAGAGAACTACTGGGACAACAGATATTTTCCTTTCTTTTTTTTTCAGAGTATTCTCTGTAACCCCAACTGATGGTTGTGTGTAGATTAGCAGTTTCTGAAATACTCAGACAAGCCCGTCTGGCATAAATAGCCATGCCATGTTCAAAGTCACTTAAATCACCTTTCCATTCTGAATCATGGTGTCAGTTTAAACAGGTATTCTTGGCTAGGTCTATGTGCCTAAATGCGCTTATTTGCTGATCAGATAATGGGCAGTTGAACATGTGTATCTAATAAAGTGGCCTGTAGGCGTATATGTCAAGATAACCCATAAAACTGTACTCCATGAATCATTAAGGGGAAAATTTGATTTATGGTTTGCACCTTGACTCCAGACTGATGGTGAACTTGCTGAGCTAGCTACGCCCACACAGCGGTGGATAGTTAAATTTCCCAAGGGGCTACAAGAAAAACTGGAAGGACTTCCCCAATGAGCTCATAAATAGATCAAATTATACTCAAATTACACACATTAAAAGACAATTAATCATTTAATGTCTCTAGGTATGCATTTATTTTTGCATTTAAGTTATTACCTGTGTGAACCAATCGCAGAAACAACTTCGCTGTCACTTTGGCTTGCCATTGTTGGGTCGAGTGACTGCAGCCTGGCTAAACTTCTGTGGGAGCGAGGTGGGCGAACAGGGGACAAAGAGACGGCATTGCTCACACTGGAGCGTCTGTAAGGGGGCAGGTGTCTGGAGGTGACAGACATGGCATTTCCATTTGTGTCCAGAGTCACGCCAGGCTCCATGTACCTCCCATCACCGTGAACCCCATTAAAGTGCTGCATGTGGGGTGAGGGTGCTGGTAGGCGAGGTAGTTGGTGAAGAGATTGAGGTTGGGTGGTGGTGGGCGGTAGGATGGGGTCCACACTGTCCAGTAACCTCGAGTGCTTTGGATAACCATCCGGGTTGTAGAGCATTGGATACCCTCTTCTAACTTCGACATCCACGCTGTGGCCTACAGACACCACCTTGAGCATCTCTACAACCTCTTTGTGAGACATTCCCAACACACAGACATCATTGATGTACACCAGGATGTCCGCTAATAAACCACAAACAAAAGGACAGGGATACAAAAATAATTATCACAAATTTCTTCGAATCAGCTATACTGTTTTAACCCTTACATACTGTTCATATTTCATGCCTTCACAGAATGGTTTTAATCTGGGCCAAAAATTCCTACATAACAAGTCACAACAAAGAATTGTTAACTACAGATTAATTGAGAATCTATAAATATGTCTGACATTAATAAATGGCGGTTTAAGCCTTAATTAACGTTTCAAGGAGTAACAATAGTGTGTTTTTTAAGTTTCCCAGCACTTGTTTTTGGAGAAAAACATCAAAGTGTCATGTCCCATTTACCTAAGTCATAACATTATAAAGAAAAAAAGATATAACAGTAAAGATTTAAAGATATTTTTATTTAACGTGAAAATGACACGAACATTCTGGAACTTTGGGATTTATTACATAACTATGTATAACTACTACTGTTAAACTGTTCTCACTTCTGTGTCATATTGTTTTAAAAATCCACCTACCAAACTACCATCCATAACTACCCATGTTAATTCAATATTAATTAGAAAATTGCTTATTATCAACTAGTCTGTGCGTTCAAAGCACACTTTTGATCTGTTTTAATCTCAAATAATTTAAAATGAACAGATTATAATTTGTTGATTGTTGCATTGTTTTCTGAAATTGTGTGCGTTTGTGCTTGCAGATGCAAAGCACAAACACACATAGTTAATGTACTCATATTTATTTAGCATTTTTCTAGTTTTACTGACTCCTCAAAGCCCTTTGAACTACAAGTCACACAATAACTGTTTTCTATGCACTTCAATCACCAGTTAACTCAAAATGTGTGGAGAAAACCCACTGCAAGTACTCTGGAGTGGATTAAACATGCAAACTCTGCACAGAATTAAACCATGAACCATCTGGATGTGAGGCAACAGTGCGGCTCATCCCACTACAACCACACTGTTTCACATCCCGTGTCTGTGTCAAGGCACCATCTCTCAAGGCACCTTCTGACCTCTGTATGACCTCTGTTCCTGATGCGGACCATATATGATCATATCTACACTGTTTTACTATTACGCTCTTTTGAGATTCTCCCATGACCCTGCAAAGACCAGCGGTTTTGTGTCCCTGCGGGACGCTGGGTGAATGCATGTGAACACAGGCAGTTCTCATGACAGTGTGCTGATGAACTTTGTCACCACTGTCCCGTGAAAAATACACACAGACATGACATGTCTGTCACGATTCCCTCAAACCACCATTTTACTTGATTTGACCGACACTGCTGGACCTAAAAATCATTAAATCTAAAAATCTTTATGAGTTATTATGGGTTAAATGTGACACCAAACAACCGCAGTGTACAAAAATTTGTATCACCCGTACAACAGTATAAAAATATTCATATTGCAGTCTAACTAAGCAAAATTTAGGTTATTTTTGCAGCTGAAAAATGTCAGAATGGGTCAAATTTGACCCGAGCAGTATGTAAGGGTTAACCTTTCTTACTAGTTTCATATGCTTAAGTGTGCAGCGTTTGTAAATGGAATACACACTGTGTATTTTGTATGTGTGTAGACTAATCCGACCACATAATCCTCCTAAACCAGCCTATTAACAGATATGAACTAGATCAGTCCCTGCAGAGACAGCCTGTGCCCCGGCTTTCTAGAGTGCAAATACCATGCCTAGTGCATTTGCATGAGTGTGTCTGCAACCAGCATGTGCAATGGTGTTTATGCATGATGGCCAGATTAGAGTGTGCTAGCCCTGAAGATTAAGAACTGATCACTCACTTTCTGTGGAATATTTTATAGTGAAACCCACAGAAATTCTGACAGAAAGAACAAAAATAAGAAAAAGACACTTACACACTACCAACTGCAAAACTGTAGCAGTCATGACCATGATACATATAATCTTTTACCTGTCTTAAGAGTGGAGGGTCCACTTTCTGTCACACTGTACACCTGCAGGAACTCTCTCGGCCTGCTTCCCCCCACAATATTGAAACCAAACCCTCTGGGGCCTTTGATCAAGTGCGTGTGCACAGGGAAACCCCTGAGGTCCCCAGGCTCGTCCGTGAACCCTGCGAGTTAGCGATAAAGGCGGAAAAGAGAGGATGGGTTAATAACGATGCTTACCTCCAAGAAAAAGTCATAATAGTCCTTAAGGAAAGAAATTTAAAAATATGCCAAAAGGGTGGAATCATTGAAAATACTGAACACCGTCCTGCATGTTTACATACAATTCAGTGCTTAGAACTGACAGGTCTTACGAATGAGGCAAAAGAGAGAGAGCTGTAACACTGCAAACCAATCAGCAGATGGGCTTTTAACAAAATGCTACACAAACCAAAGCATATGGTTGGGCGATTGCATTAAAAGCAGAATCCATTACAGACGACCACCTTAAAATGGAAACATAATCCATTAGGTCGACCCAGCTCTCTACAGTAATCCAGGTCTTTATTTACTATTTACTGTTGCATCAAGAAATCTGTGCTATTACAGACTGCGCCTTTCCTTTCATGTTTGTTCGTAATTCAATCCTGCCCTAATTGTGGGGACAGAAGCAGCAATCATTTCCAGCTGTAAACATGTAAATGTTTGTACCAGATTGTGCAGAAATCCTATCAGGTACCTCTGATCATAATGAATATTATATCACCTTCTGCTGGTGAGAAAAGTGTACTGCACTTTGTCGAGACAAGCCTGAGTCACAGTGTGGCAACAGAGCGTTTCCAATCACGACAAACAGCCATCTGCAACTAGATTACGCCTCTAAACAACAAATGATGTGGCCAAATCATGAAATCAACTTGCCAGTCACATGTCATACACGTGTCAACCCTGCCAGTCCCAGCAGCGAGTCTGGCTCTTCGCCAGCAGCTCTGAGCTTTAGGCCTTAATCACTTACACGTCTCAGTTCAGCTAAAAGCTCATTCCATCTCATTTGGCTCTAACAAGCTGGCTGTGTCTGTTTCTTCCCTTTTTGACAAATATATAGCTTCATTTAGACTGTTCAACGGTTAAATCGCTTGCCAGTGTTTTAATAATTACACGGAATTCGAGTGAAACGTAGAGAGAAAGATAGAGACGAATGCAAACGAAAGACGCTCACAGTCGTTTTTGTAGAGGTTTTCCCTGCTTGAGGCTCGATGACTCTGCCAGCTGGTCCTCTTTGGGTTGCGTCTTGGAGAGACAAAGTTGGAAAAGAAATGAAAGCCACCCTCTTTAGAAACACAACAGCATTGGATATAATATGACAGTGCTGGAATTTATTACACTTTTGTTGAACAATAGAAACGCCTGCCACTGCAAACAATGCAACTCGCTCTACCATCTTTTTCCAGCGTGCTAAAAGGAGGCATTGAGCAAATTGAGAAAATCACATATTCACTTTTTTTTAGAATGAAATGAAAATGATAGACAGACAGACTCAGGTTTCTGACTTTTTTAAATGCATATTTTTAATATGCATATTAAAAATATGCATAATATATTTATTTTAAAAAACTTTTATCTATTTATAAGAGTAGATTTCCCTTCTACTGTTATCTCAGGTGCAGCATTTTTGCTGTGAATATGGAAGCCTTGACCTCCTATTGTTCACATCTTTTTACGAGGGCCAGCCAATCAATAATCGAATAGAGAATGACTTGATTGATCTGAATTAGGAATTGTGCAAAAGCCACTGTAACAGAGTCCAAGAATCAAAAGAATTATAATAGAGAAGACCAGCAAGGAAATACAGCCAGTCAGGCTTTGACTAAAAATGCCTGAAAACAGTAAATCTCATTAATAAAAAATAACGTACATGTTGAATAAATTAAATATTTCTATGTCAGTGATTAGGTTCGGATTAGGAGTAGATGGGTGGGGTTCGGCCATGTTAAGCTGGTAAGTGTATGCAACCCAGCTATTGCTGGGGTTTAAAAAAAAAAGCCAGCCTTGCTGTTGTTCTGTGTTTCCTGGCTTTAGCTTCATAATAAGCTGACAGATAGAATGGTGTTATTGATCTTCTTGTCTAAAGCCTTATTCACACAGGACTTATTATCTGAAGACCTCTAGTCATTTGTAATAATTGCTCAAGAAGTCTGAGATCAAAATCTCATACAAATCTACAGGATCCATCATTTGGAAAGTTAATATTTGTACCACAGATAACCTTTTTATGGTGAATCCCAGAGGTGCTGTGGTGTTATTTATATTTTATTTGTATGAAATTATCTTTAAGGTGTTCTCCACACCTTGCTTGTGCATCTTTGCTGTCAGAGTTGTGACTGTTACAAATTAAGGAGGGTTAGTGTCACTATATAGCATAAAGACTGATAGAAATTTTATATCCTCTTGCAGAAGAACAAGGATGATGATGAGATGGATAACCGCAATGACAGGAATCGGTAATTAACATTTTGCTGTCTTTCAACAGACTTGGCTGTTATTACGTGGCAGCCTATTATTATTAATCTTAGTCCTGTAGCTGCTGACCACAGATGTCAGTAAATTCAAGTAAAACACAGACTTCACTGATCCTGTGCGAACATGCTGCACAAAATACAGACGTGGGGGGTGGGTAATTTCTAAATCACAAGATCCCCTTTGAATAATAATCCCATGTGAATAGAAGTTAAATCTCAGAACGTGAATAAGCCTGTTCCCTGAAATGTTGGACTATTCATTTAATAGATTTATGGCGATACTTACTCTATGTAAACTGACTCTCCTGGGTCACTGAAGGCCTGCTCCCAGTGATCGGGCATCACGCCTCTCACTCTGGCACCACTCCTGCTGCTGATGATGCCGTTTTCTATGACGTGACCATCGCCTCCGCTACTGGATGCTCGTGTGCGACCGGGAGACCGGTGACCAAGAGGGATGCTGCTGCTAACACCCGCAGAGCCTCCTGTAATTACAGTCAGAATCACTTTTATTGTCACGTGCACATGCAGGATTTTTTTTTTTATGACAGAGAAGAAATACGTAACACTGATATATTATTGAACAGATGTGGCAGGTAAAAAGTTTCTCCTGCAAGCTGTAATGACCTTATTCTGGCATTTCCACTGGGGGCTGTCAGGCAAAAAGACCTGAGGTCAGCATCTCAGCTGTCTTTGTCCTTTCTCTAAGGAGGAAGAATATGTGACTATGCATGCCACACTAGCAGTAGATGAAAAATAAGCATATTTTCTTTCCTAGCTGTCCTTGTAGCTGTCCTTCAGTTCTGAGCTCCAGCATGGATTTAAGAGACGTCAGCCCTAACACTGGGAGTCCTGCTGCACGCGACAAGTGATGCTGGACCCATCCACCCACGCATCGCCACTTCAAAAGATGACTCAGCAGAGGTCAGGGTGTTGGACGGCTCTCTCAAACTCCAACCTGCCTGCATCCTGCATCCTGCACCGGTCCGGACTGCCTGCTGCAATACCTGACTGCTTGGAGCACGTTTCTGGATAGCTGTCTGCCTGATTTTCTCACCTCCCACACTGCCTGCCTCTCTCTTATCTTCTGTCCCATTCTGGCTCCCTGCCTTCACCCTTCTTAACACTCAGCCACCCTACCTGCCACCTCCACCCCCTACGCTGCTGCCGTGCTCCCTTTCTCTAATATTTAATCTTACACTCACCTTCTGTTCAGCTCCTGTGTACTAGTTTCATGTTGTTCTTTGTGCCTGCAGTCTATTCAAGTATATAATTTTGCAGTATTTGTATTTCACTCGGTTATTTATCTTTAGCTTATTCACCACAATTCAAAGGGTAATATTGTTTATAATTTATATTTTTTACTCTTTGTAGCTTGGGATCATTTGAAAGTGTATGGCTGGAGGCCCTTGTCATTTCCTTTTAATCATGAAAGCACAAAAATATCTGTATATGTGATCATTTCCTGTCTTGATCGCTGTATCTTGCAAAGCTTTTGCGCCTTTTTGCTTCAACCTGTGGTTATTTTTAATCCATTTTGCATCTCTTATGGTCACTGTGTGTCTTTATGGTCATTTACATTTATTTCTCATTATTCCTGGACTTTTTTGGCAGCTGTTCTAGTCTCTCTGGAATATATAATAGAGCACAGAAACCTCTGAGTGTTCGGGTTCTTCGTGCCTCCCAGGTTGGCTCAGTAAATGTAGGTCCATACGAAATTCATCCATGGTGTGAATGAGAACTACTTCCAAATGCTCTCTCGCCACAAGGGGTCGCCACAGCAGGTAGCTCCAGATGTTTTTGATTTGGCAGAAAACCAAAGAGAATTTGCGTCCCCATCTAGACTCGAACCGGAGGTATCTTCATAACAACTGAATAAATATTAATTGTATTTTTATGATCTAATACCCACACTGAGTCCCAGGCAAAGGATATCTGCACTAGGACTCAAAAAAAAAGGAGTACCTCACAAGTCGAAGCATTATTAGTAACAAGCTGCTTCTACTTTGATCATTTAAGTGCATTTCGCTGATGATGCTTTTATTTAAATATGTTTTTGAAAGTAAGCTCTTTGCATTAGTCTTTTCTCTCACTGGTGATTAATGAGCCTTTTAAGCCTTCTCTTTAAACGAGATAGTATTTTGGTCACAACTGCCACAAAAACCTGCAATGACCGTATGTTTGGGGAGCCTAATGACTCGAGTCGAACAATGCTGCTTTCTTGTCGCATGATTTGCTACTTTTCGTCCCTCACCTCTCTGTGTGCACACTTGTCTGCTTCCCTCTTTACCTGCTTGACCCAAGGCAGCTTGACCTTCCCTTGGAGGTGATCCAGCAATCGATGAGGCCACAGCCCAACTGAGATTTTAGAGCATACTAATCATGCTAATGATTGATTAATTTGGGCATTGGAGACTGGAGCTATTGATAGAGAGACGACGCAGTATTAAGCTGCTGAATACTTTGCAGTTCTGAGAAGATACATTCTCCCACTGCTGATATGCTATATAAATAACTCAATATAACTGATAACTTCAATGCTTCATTTATGATTACTTAGATGCAGACGAACATTTATTGCTCTGCCAGCACCGGCCATAGTTTAGCTCAGCGACACTTGCCCGAGTCTCCCTCGTTGTGTATGCCTTCTGGTGCAGCCTTTTCCAAGTTGCTGAGCGATTTGCTGCGTGTGCGGAAGTTTCTGAGCAGGTTGCGGTGTTCCTGGTAGGTGATGGGGGGGCTCTCTGCACTAACGTGAACGGGCCGAGGTGTGCCGTAGTAATTCCCTGAGACAGAGAAAAGCAGAAGAGAGACGTCCTTTCTTAATAAATTGAAATGCAATGAAAAAGTTAAATGTTATAATGAAATAAACTGAGATATTGGGATTAATGGACATTATGAGCCCATTCAAATCCACTGGCATTCATTTGAAGATCATTAATTTCACAAAGCCTATATGAACAGTTCAAACATGATATGAATTCATGAGGTAAATAAATTGCACGATTATGCACATATATACCTCATACAACATATGCATGTACACACCTTTGTTATGTATCCCCTGAGATCATAAACTACATTCTTATAACGAGCCATCTGCTCCAGCTCCTAAAGCAGAAATGAAATTACCTCCACCCCTCCATTTGGCTCGTGGAGATCCAAATGGGCTGAGGGAAACATTAGATTAGTGAACTCAGCAGCAAGGTCACCAGCCGTCACCGTTTACTGCGCTTTCTGCAGGCGATTGGACGAACAATGCTGCCGACATTCCAGACTGCTTTACTGTAGCAATACGTCCGTCAATGTCACATGCAAGGCAGGTGAGGATGGCATTTATTGCTCCCATTAAACTCTTATAAATTATGGGTGTTAATGCATGGAGGCTTTTTAATCAGAGGCAGCACTCTGACCCTTACAAAAGGAAGAGTCTGTGGGGAAGATACAAGCTGAGTATCACCAGCTTTCATGAATAAGCACCAAGAATTAGCCTTTGAAGCCTCCTTGTATTTACCTTACACATCACCACTGTCAGAGGCACAATAAGGGAAGAGGGTGACAAAAGTCTTCCAGTGTTTTCTTGCTGAGAAGTAAATGTGAAGACCGATATGACATGGGTTTGATAAATGCACACTTAATGTGAGCCAGGAGACATTTAGCTGAGCTAAGCATAAAGAATGGAAATAGGTTTGTGTCAAAAAAACAGAACTTAAGCAACAAATCAGAGCACCTACAAATTTACAAGATAAATCTCAGTTGTGCAACATGGACAGAAGGTAAAATGTAAAGATGACAAGTTGTCTCATGGTGGGTTTTTTTTTTTCTGTTAACTGTTTAACTTTTGGCTCTTTTACTTGATCTCTGGTCACGTTGTTTCCATTTTTGGATTCGTGCTGCTTTCACTTGTGCAGCACCTTTTGATGCTTCTTCTTTTAGTTTGATTAAAGTTACCTTTGTTTCACTACCTGCCTGTCTGCCTTCTTTGACTCCTGCACTGGTACAAAATTGTGGTTTCAGACATAGACATAGACTTAATTAACCCCACACTGGGGGAATTCACGTGTTACATGAAAATGTGAATTGGAGATATATTAGAAAAATAAAAATAGAAGAATAAATAAATAAGAAAAAATATTGTACAAAATAAACAAGTAAAAAAAATATACAAGAGTAATTTGTACTATTTATAAGTGGTTAGTAAATACAGTAAAATACACTGTGAGATTTTTTCATTTGCACACAAAGAGCAGTGGGAGTGATTATACATACACATATATTTTAGCAGGTATCTATTGTACGTGTGTTTTGCCCAGCCTGACTACTGTCGGGATGAGTGCTCCTTCCTACAACATGGCTGGAACAGCTAAACAAGCTGCTCAGGGGATGTGAGGTATTGTCCATAATGGACGTTAGCTTGGATAGCATCCTCCACTCAGCCACCTCCTCTATAAAGTCGAGTGGACTGGCCAGGACAGAGCTGGCCCTCTTCACCTGTCTATTTAGTTGGCTCCGGCCCCTTTCCATGCTGCCATCTTCCCCAGCAGACTACTGCAGAGACCATCACTGTGTCATAAAAGGTCCTCAGTAAAGACATGCCCACCCCAAAGTACTCCGCCTGCCAGGCAGATGGAGCCGACTTTGGTCCTTCTTGTGTAGAGCATGAGTGTTTTCTGACCAGTCCAGTTTACTGTTAAGGTGAACACCCAGGAGTTGGTTTTCACAAAGACTACACAACTACCATCTCCTTCATCTTACTAGTGTTGACATGCAGGTGGTTGAATTCACACCAGATGACAAAGTCAGTGATGACCTTCACCACCCAGGACAGTAGGCAAACTGTAGAGGGTCAAGTATTGTGCTCACCAGGTGGGTGAGGAAGATCCTTTCCAGGGTCTACATCAGGCAGGAAGTTAACAGCACAGGTCTGAAAATGATTAGGCTTCCTGGGGTGCACGGTTTTTGGCACTGGACCCACACCAGAAAGTCTTCCAAAGGAGAGGGACCTTTTCCAGACTAAGGCTCAGATGAAACATGCGTGAATCTGTACATGTATTCGTCATTCACCCTTACAAAAAGACTGAGGAAAGACGCCTGTACAGGAATCACTTTAATTCTTCATATCATAGATTCAAGGAGCAATTTAGGTCCATATTGGCATGATAGTATCCCACAGTTGCTGCAGATTTACTGGCTGCACATCCACGATATTCCACTCCACCACATCCCACAGTTGCTCTACTGGACTGAGATCTGGTGACTGTTGAGGCCAAAAACCAGTTTGAGATGATGGGAGCTTTGTAACATGGTGTTATCAAGCTGGAAGTAGCCATCAGAAGATGAGTACACTGTAGTTGTAAAGGGATGGAAATAGTCAGCAGTCAGCTGAAACTGTTTCTCCTCATCAAGGCATTTTGCCCCAGAGAACTGCCATTCACTGGATATTTTCTGTTTTTCAGACCACTCTCTGTAAACCCAGAAGGACGTATGGGAAAATCCCAGCTGCTCAGCAGCTTTTGAGCAGACTGGTATGTCTGCCATCAACAACCATGCCACGTTCAAAGTCACAAAACTCCCCTTTCTCCCCCATTCTGATGCTCAGTTTGAAATTCAGCAGGTCATCTTGATTATGTCTACATGACTAAATGCACTGAATTGTTGCTGCAGTCTAATTGGCTGATTAGACATTTGCATCAATGAGCAGTTGAACAGGTGTATACAAGAAAGCAGCCAGTGAATGCATACCATGTCCCAAAAAGATGATTCTGTTAATCTGGACGTAAAATTTTCAGTGGGTGAAACATTTTGTCATTCATCCAGTTGACTTCTTCAGTCTTCAGTCTTCAGTTTCCGCAGCCTTACAAACAGTACATTTGCACAATGACTGAAACTAGCATCACTGGCAAACAATGGACTATGAGGTCACTTTCTGGATCGTTTATATGGAGATTGTCATGACCATTGACCAATGATCAGAAGATAGGTAATAATAATAATAATGGATTGCATTTATATAGCGCTTTTCGGGACTCTCAAAGCGCTTTACAATTCCACTATTCGTTCACTCTCACATTCACACACTGGTGGAGGCAAGCTACAGTTGTAGCCACAGCTGCTCTGGGGCAGACTGACAGAAGCGAGGCTGCCACGTCGCGCCATCAGCCCCTCTGGCCATCACGGTAGGTGAAATGTCTTGCCCAAGGACACAACGACTGAGACTGACCGAGCCGGGGCTCGAACCGGCAACCTTCCGATTGCAAGACGAACTGCCAACTCTTGAGCCACGATCGCCCTCAGTGTACCTACAGGTCAGGCTAGTTGGCAAGGGGGAAAAAAAACATTGAAATGTGTAACGCAAAAGGATAATACAGAAAAACTCCTCTGCACAGAAGCACATAAATGTCCACAGCACAACATTATGGAGCATGTGACAAGCGGGTGGGTAGGGGGTGAGGAGTAATCTCAAACAAACACAGCAGCCATCCTGCCCTGCAGCTATTTTTCCAGCACTGGGCCCAGACCCACCGTGTTCTCCAGGAGGGAACAAGCATACACTATATTACTCCCTTTGTGCTGGGGGACCGGGCTCTTGGAGTGGACCAATTTTTGGCCCAGTGTTTTTTGGGGTCTGAAAGCCACAGAGATGCAGTGTTTAGAGAAAATGAGTGTCAACTGTCCCGATGCTCCTGACACATAAAGCATCACTAAGGGTTTTTGCTTAGGCAGCAGTTGATCTTCTCTCTTAGATCACCTGGGGCTTTGACAAATGTCCACCTGGGATAACCACACTTACAGAGGGCCTTCTTGATATGATGTTCTTCTGCTTCTCTGGCCATTTTTTCTGTGGGGATGGTGTTCGCTGTGTGTTGAAGTGTCCTAATCACACCCAGTTTTTGCTCCAGTGGATAATGACGGTCAAACGTTAAATACTGATCCA